TTCATGAGTTAAGCAAGTGAGGAGGATGCTGGAGTAGCTCCTCTGTACTAGTTTACTTTGAACAGCACATCATGATTATAATTCCAAAAAGCCCTGAAATAACATTTTGCTTCTTTGTGGGACTAGGAGATAAATACCCTTTATCATCTTTTTTTTCTCATGGAATCCTTTTTAGCTGCACTAATATGCATTAAGAAATTTCCAAGGCAATAGGAAATGTCAGCAAGAATGAAATTAATTGGGTGGTCATCCCTGAAGGTACATATTTAGGAATTGGTTCTCAGAATTGTCACTTCATCAGTTTGCTTAAAAATAGGATTTACTTTACTGCTTGGCTTGAGTCAAAAGTAATTTCTTTCCCTCAGGATGCTCTTCTTTGACAGAAATGATTCTAAGCCAGCTTCCTTATTAACTCACTCTTATTCTGCTGTGACAAAACATGGTTTGGTTCTCATCTCTAACTCTTGAAAAGAACTTTGCAAAAACCACATTAAACATCTACACAAATTGCAGTCTTGCCCTGAAATTTTGTTTGCAAAAGCATTTTGTATATTACCAAATGTGAATAATACTATCTGCAGGATATTGGTAACAAAGAACCATATATCCAGTGTTTTTTTTTTTCATTTCATATTCCCCAGGCTACTCTTAAGAGTTGGTAAAAAACATGTGAAATTTTAGCCTGATTTTTATTTATTTTAGATGCTCAAAGGATATCAGCATATTTCTCTCAGATTATTACATTTTGGTATATTCCTTTTAACTATACCTCTGTCCCATATGTTTTGAGATTTGAAGTTTATATTAGACTTCTCTCCTCTATGTCATCTATTTGTTTCTTCCACAAAAACAAACTGCAGGCACATCCCAAGACAGTAAGAAGACTCTAAGACACATGGCTGGTATTTTTGTTTATTAAAAATAGATGTATAGTTAACAATATATTTAATGATCTTCTGTTCAGAAATTGCCATTTGGATGATGGTCTTAGCTCATAAATCATCCTAAGATATAAGTGTTACAATCTGGAATGCCTTCAGGGCCCCACCAATTTAGAGATGGCCATCTTTGACAAGTGTGAGCAATTAAAAGAATTAATGTCTACATGCTTGACTTTAAGGAATTCTAACTTAATAATTTTTAAACTCTATCATATTGGCAAGTAAAACTGGAAAAATTCAGCCTGTTAGGTAGGACTTAATCTGTAGAGAGCCAATTTTTCCACATTCTATTTATTGTTGCATAACAAACCACTCCCAAAATTAGGTGCTCAAAGCAATGCTAATCCTTTACCTTTTACATATTCTGATTCTAGGTGTGGTAGCTATTGCTCATGGTCTTTCATGTAGTTCTAGTAAAATAGTGGCTGGACCTCCTTTCTTACGTTCCTACACATTGGTGCTTATTGGCTAGAACACCTATCCATGGCCCCTCTGCATGTGGAACTTAACAGAATGTTGGTTGATGAACAAAGTTGAATAGCAAATTTCTTGAGAGAGGGGAGGGAAGGGGGGAGGCTGTTCTTTTGTGCATCAGTGTATTGTCCTTGGAAGTCACCAAGTGCCATTTTATTTTATTTTATTTTATTTACAAAACACTATTTATTTGGACATAGGGTCTCATGTCATAGGCTGACATCAAACTTGATATGTAGCTGAGGACTATCCTGGGGCCTCCACCTTCTAAGTGCTTGGGTTATAAGTGTATGGCATCACGGTCAGTCTATGCAGGGCTGGGGATGGTAACCAGTGCTTCCTGAATTCTAAGCAGCACTCTACCAGCTCCTTTCCAGCTCCATTACATCTTATTCTTTAGCAGGGAGTCAGAAAGATTAGTCTAAAATAAAGAGGAAAGGAATTTAGATTCCGTATCTTAATGGGAGTAGAACAAACTATTTTGTAAACAGACATTGAAAGTTCGCATCAGAGAGTAGTAAAACTAAATATATAACAAACTTGGATATAATAAAGGAGATGTACAAAATGTTTCACAGCTGGATTGGCATGGTCCCTGAATAAACAGAAGAAATAAAAGCATCAACAACTGATAAGATCTGCTGGCACAGATACTTAATATCAGCTCCAGGGACAATTAAGGCTCTAAATGGGCTGAAAAATCAATAGCAACTCTGAGGGTTGGATAGGGGTGAGCAATGAGAAGGTCATATATGTGAGGCAGGATGTTTTTGTTAACTCTTGCCGAAGCTTTAGAAGTCTCTCTGAAATGAACCTCAGCCAGTGGTTGTTTCTTATTTTTCTTTCTTTCTTTCTTTCTTTCTTTCTTTCTTTCTTTCTTTCTTTCTTTCTTTCTTTCTTGTGTGTGTGTGTGTGTGTGTGTGTGTGTGTGTGCTTCAATGTCACTCAATCAGTAGCAGTTAGAAACATGTCAATGTATGGTTCTCACTCTAATGATTTGAAAGTTTACTTTTGCATGAACAGGCAGAGTAAGAAATGAGGGGAAGAGAAGTTGCAGTCTGTAGGAACATACATTATTGCAATTATTATCACATGTATATATTATGGTTGAATCCACTTCCTGTGGTTGCAGGCCTGAGGGTCTGACTTCTTTGATTATGCCCTCTTCATTGAGGAGCCAGTAGCAGTGTGTGAAATCCTTCTCACCCTTTCAATCTGCCTGACTTCCCATCTGCAAGTATCTTTTCTGACCTCTAGTCCTCTGTTGCATCTATTTGATTCTAGGTGGAAAAGGTTGCTTGCTTTTAACGGCTCATGTGATTAGAAAATCCTACCTGGATAATCCAGGATAAGCTCCCTATTTTCAGATCCTTAACCTTAATTACATCTGCAAAGTTCTTTTTGCTGTGTAATGGCAGGATCCCAGGCATTAGGATGTGATAATAAATCTACTCACTACAGATAGAAAGTTGGGGTCAACAATGATATTTTCTCTTCTACCTGTTTCCTCAAGAAAAGTAGGCCAGTCAGTAACTTTTTTGATAAACACCAGGTTCTAATTGAGCCACTTACTTTAAGTTGATTTGACAAAAGACAAGGTACTCTCCTGATTTCTGCTACATCTCTAGAATAATGCAAGGCCTAATAGAACTACTTTGAAATCTGAAAGACCAGACGTTGCACAAGTATGTGATACTTCTAAATTTCATTGTTCTCATCTGTAGATGGACAAATAATAAAGTTAGAATATAGCAAAGTGCTTAGTAACTGCTAGCTAATAATCATGATGATAGGATGACATAGTCATAGGCTTTTCCACAAGTAGGAAGATATGGAAGGACCAATAAGAATCATGATTTGAGTTCATACAAGTTTTATGTTAACCTGATATACATTAATTTCTTGCTTTGATGTTTTTCTATTAGACATAGAAGAATAAAGCAATGGTTTTGAAAAGGGATTTATATGTTTATATTTATATGTTCTCTTTTTGTACTGTGGTTTGAACCCAGAGCCTCATGAATGCTAAGCATGTGTTGTGCCACTAAGCTAAACACTCAGTCCTGTACAGGTTTATTTTTTAAGCAATTTAGCTTAAAAGGAATTGCCCAGGTTTAATTGTAAAAGGCAGTGACTGGTGCCTATTTCAAATAGCCCATGAACCAAGAATGATTTTTTAGAGATAAATGTTTGAAATTTATCTGATGTTGACAAGCCATAAGTTGAACCACAGTTAATTAAAATAATATCCCACCTCAAAACAATTCTGTCATTTCACAAATACTTATTATTATACTTAATTTTATTAATTATTATTTGTGGAATGTTTAGAATTTCATATCTGTATACTATCTTCAGTTTTGCTTCTTCATCCATAAAGCCGAAGTGTTTACACTTTAATTGTTTACAGAAAAAAATGTGCTACATTGTCATCTAAGTAACCTGTGTATTTAATATAAAGACATAGACAGTTCATAGCTATAAGGGATCCTAACATCTAATACAATACCTTTCACTTTAATTTATTATTGTTATTACTACTATTATTATGTACATTCTCATGTTCGAGTGTGTGTGTGTGTGTGTGTGTGTGTGTGTGTGTGTGTGTGTGTGTGTGTGTGTGTGTGTGATTGGTTTGTAAATACAGGTGTGCACATGCCATGATGCTCATGTGGAGGTCAGAGGACAACTTTCAGGAGTGGGTTTTCTACCATGATTCTGAGGATAAGACTCAGGTTATCAGGATTACAGGGCAACCACTTTATCTGCGGAACCATCCTACCAGTCCAGTACCTTCACTTTACAACTGAAATCAAACCCCAGAAAGACTGCTGACCAATCCAACAAAACTCAGTTGGTTATTGAGATAGTTCAGGCATTTGCAACTTAAATCAGTGAACTTTTCGTGGGAATAAGGCAGACCCTTGAGTAGCATGATAGTATATTATTCATTTGTCTTTACATGGATCTCTGTGTTATTTTATTATCTAAAACGGTTTCGTAAACAGGCCAGGAATGATATAGGCCAGAAAAGTAACTGGCCCACGTCTCATCTGAACAAAACCTGGCAAATATCAGCTTGCTGCTATGTGTTTCCATTTTCAGAGGGAGCATCTCTGATTATAAGTCTCTTATTAAAAGTTTTTCAGATTCACTCATGTTTTTCTTTTATTTATTGTTTTTATTGTTAGTGAAAAGCCAAGCATGCTAGTGTTCTTTTTAAAAAGTATATATTTATTTTTATTTTATGTGTATAGGTGTTTTGCCTGGATGAATGTCTATGTACCCTAGATTCCCTGGAACTTCTATTACTGACAGTTAACTTCCATGTGGGTACTGAGAATTGAACCTGGGCCCTCTGAAAGAGCAGCCAGTGTGTTTAACCTCTGAGCCATTTCTTCGGCCCTGCTAATATATTCTTGCCAAACTGTGCTGGCTTTCTGCTAAAATTGTTCATTCAACAGAGTAGGAGCCATAAATGATGCAATAATTTTCCCTTGCATCAATAGCTGTGTTATTTTATGATTACTGTTTTCTTATCTGGATACTGATGGCTACCTGTGACATTTGTCTTTCTTTCTGCAGGTGGTTTACAAACCCAACAACAGTCAATGCCTTTTACAGTGCATCTACCAACCAGATACGTGAGTACCAGATTCTTGATGGGGATTGCATTGATTCTGTAGTTTGCCTTTGGTAGATTGGCCATCTTCACTATATTAATTCTTCCAGTCCTTGAGTATCTTTCCATCTCCTAGTATTTTCTTAAATTTCTTCAGTGTTTTCATTGTAAAGGTCTTTCACTCCTTTCTCCGTATAAGTCCATAAAAATTTTATATCACTAATGGCTTTTCAAACTATAATAAACAGAACTGCAGTGAAATTTTTCATTACAAAGAACACACATACTTTTTCGTTTCATAACTCTTTTGATAATCTTGTCCACACCATCCTTGCTCTGGTGGCGGAAATGGCAATTAACTGGGAGCAACTTTTATGGAATAAAGAAGCTTACAGTTATTCTGATTATCTCTATAATGTAATGTCTTTAAGTTGTTTATTTCTGTGTGTTGGGTAGATGTAATTATATATGCTCTCCTGGTTAGCTTTAAGCATCAACTTGACAAAGCTTAGAGTAATCTGAGATGATAATCTCTATTGAGGAATTGCCTAGATCACATTGGCCTGCAGGGGATTGTCTGTGTGTGTGGAGGGGGTGAGGTGGGAGAACAGCCCACTGTGAGAAGCACCATCCCTAGGTAGGAGGTCCTGAGCACCATAAGAAAGTTAGCGGTCTTTAAGCCTGCTGACTTCAAGTCAGCTAGGAAGCAGCACCTCCATGGATTCTGCTGGACTTCATTAGTTGTGAAGTGAGTTCCTCTGTCAGAGGTAATTCTGTAAGGAATGGCAAGGAGACCTGCCTTCAAGTTCCTGTCTTGCTTTACCTCAATGTTGGATCATGGTCTGGAATTGTAAACCAAACCTGCCCCCTCCAAGTTACTTTTAGTAAGGGTGTTTTATCACAGCAGCTGAACTAAAACTAGGACAAATATTATGATGAATTTTTAAAATTATTAAGATTCAGTATGGCAAAAGTTAAAAATCTGATAGCATTCAGAATTGGTATTAAAGATTTTGCCACTGATGGAAACATAAATTAGGCCACCCACATTGCAAAGCAAGTTGACAATGTGTAGAAAAGCCAGAGTGGTGCCCGAACATCTGTGACCATCATTTGCATGCCTGATCTATCCCAGAATTTTGATTCTGAGTGTCATTTTTGAACCATGAACAAAAACACCCTCAGGGAACTTGTCAGAAATGAAACTTCTCAGTCTCTAGCTTATATAAAAACTTTGGATGCAAGCCTCAGAAATTGGTTTTAATAAGATTTCTAATTGCTTCTACTGAATACTAAAGTTTGAGAAACCTTTCCCATAGAACACAAAGCAAGGCAAAAGGAAGCTCATGAAGAATGCTTGTGGCAGGGTCATTGATAGTAGCAGGAAAGGGAAAGAGCTTATGTGTCCTTGTGCACAGAAATGAAGTAATGTGGCGCATTCATACAAATGAAGAACATGCAACAGTGAAAGTTAGATGGCCTACTATGACACCTATTAACAGATGACCTTCACTAATTAGGCTGTATAGCAAATTAGTAACGAGAAAATATATGGAATATGATACCTCATTAGTAAAGGTGGAAATCATGCAGAATAATCCTATATGCTGTTTAAGTCATATTCACTTGTGGTCCAAGTCATTCAGGAAAAGGAGACATCAAATTCAGGTTGGTGACCTCTTGTGGGGATAGCTGACGGCTCCAGGTCAAACTCTTTTGGTTTTCCTTATGTCCTCTACTTGTCCATGATGACATCTTAGAGCTCAGTCCTGTTTCCCATCCTGCTTGCCCCCATTCTCCATCTTTGCAAACTCTTGTAATGATAACATCTAATCTTGTGATTTCAATAGCATTTCTACGTTGGTGAACACAGGATGGAATTTAGAAGATTTACCATCCTTACCCTTGAGATCACTGTTTACTAGCTAGATGATAAGAAGAGCCTTCTCATTTGCTTTCCTTCTTCTGTCCTCACCTCTTCTGGACTGTTCAGTTCATGGTTCTATCATGTCACCCCTGTCTTCAAATCCTTTTACCAGCATCTTATCTTACCGAGTTTAACAATTAGTATTTGTAATGCCTGTTTTTTTTTTTTTTCCTTGATAAGGTCTCTTGTATTCCAGGCTATCCTCAAACTACCTATGTAGCTGAGGATTGGTCTTGAACTTCTGATGCTCCTGTCTCTACCTCCCAAGTGCTGGGGTTGCATGTGTGTCATCACAGGAGGCATATGAGGTGCTAGGGCTGGAACCCGGGGCCTGGTGCATGCTAGGTAAACATTCTGCCCGCTGAGCTACATCCTCAGCCCAGTATTTGTCATTTCTTTCCCTTTCTAACTCCAGTCCCAGCTCTGTCTCTGTTCAGATACACTGTCTTCTTTTGTTACTAGCACACAGGGGACATAGACACTTCTCTCAGGGAATTGACATAGTTTTTCCCCTAGAAATTTCCTCAAGTGTTCGGCATGGTTCATGCCCCCATTTACTCTAGGTAGTGACTCAAGGATCTCTTTTCAGTGAGGTCTGTCCCATGGCCAGTCAGCCTCATATGTCATAGGTCATCCAAGTTGGACCTGGACCTTATAGGACTCTGTGGCCTAAGATACAGTTGGAGGATTGCGCCTACTGCTAGAGTCGCCCCCTGTGGCTACTGTTGGAAATGGTAATCTGTAGGACTGTCTTGAGAGTTATGAGCAGAAGGAAACCAAGCAGATGGTGTTAATTTTTGATTTCTACATTAATTAATATAACCAGAGAAGTTGTTAAATATTTTGAGTGTCACATCTTAGTATGTAAATATTCATTATACTGAAAATACTGTTGCTTTCTTAAGGTCCAAAGTTCCAAGTTGAGTACCAAGCTGCATATGTTACACGGAGACTTAAGATATTTGAGATGTCAATTACAATTAAAATTTATAGCACTTATCTAAATGCATTATATATAAAATGTCCATTGAGCAATAGAATACTGATTAGATTATTCATTTTATTAGTTTTACTAACATTTTTTATTTATGTATATTTGTAGAGGGGCATGTCATGGAATATGTATGAAAGTGAGAGGACAACTTGCAGGAGTTAGCTCCCTCCTTCTACCTCATGAGTTGTGGGGAGTGAACTTAGGTTATGAGGCAAACCCCTTTGTCTACTGAGCCATTTCACTGATCCAGATTATTTATTTTAATAGATAAAAGTTGTATTACACAAGCAGGTGTCTCCAGATGAGTTGGTGGTAAAGTTGGTGGTATGCCCATCATAAGAAGGGCAGAGACATAAGGGATTCTGGTGAGGCTTATTTACCCAATCATTTTTCTGATTGTTCTGGTGTAACTTAAGGTTACGTTGCCAAAGGTGCTTTTTGTGGTACCCTGCTTTTAATTCTTAGCAGACAAAGCAAGTTCAGGCACAATTCTTTCTTCTGAAGCTCATGTTTTCACTTTGAAGTGATCTCTATACCAGTTCAGAGAGTTCTGGTCTCTTGATATGGTTGGGAAACCAGAGGGACAGGTGTCCCAGGTGTCCCTAGTGTCATGTCTTAGTGGGTAACAAACCAGGTCATCCTGGTCAGGAAGACATCAGAAAAAAGTAAGTTGAGCCTAAAGGATGAAAGTTGTTTGTAAAAGGGAGTTCTCAATTGGTCTGAATAATGAGAACCCAGAGTCAGCTATAGAGGAAAATGCTGAGAGATCAGAGAGAAGAAGGAGCAAGCCTAAAGCCACCATTACCTCCTTTGCATGTCATCAGACAAGAGAGCTAGATCCTGTTTCTCCCCACTTATATCCTCTCTCTGCCCATCCATCTTACTTCCTGTCTGTGCCCAGCCATCTCACTTCCTGTTTCCAACCAGCCATCTTACTTCCTATCTGTCTGTACAGACCCCCAGACCTCTATGGTTAGCTAGTGGCAAGTTCCATCCTCTGGTCTTTAGACAGGCTTTATTTGTATAAGCAAGGTATCACCACAGTTGTTCATCTGGCAGAGCAGCTCAGACTGAATCCTGAAGTCTATTCTGCATGACCTGTGAGTATTGGCCTAGCATCTCAAAAATGTTGTTTGCATTCCTTTGTCAGAGCTGTACTTCAGTGATACTCCTCTCTCTCTCTTTCTCTTCCTCTCTGTCTCTGTCTCTGTCTCTGTCTCTGTCTCTGTCTCTCTCTCCTCCCACCTTCCTCATAGCTACAAGGGTCAAACTTCTTTGAGAATCCAAAACAATGTCCAAATACTCATTTTTCTGCTTGACCAAGTAGAAGTATAGAGCATCTGATGCCAGCTGAAGTGGAAAGATGGGAAAATGTGCTTAGAGTAAGATGATTCCAGCCATGGCTGGGATCTTTCTTCTTTCCTCTCCTTTTGGAGTCAGCTTGCTGTGAGTGGCAGACACCCCCAAATGTGTCTTTTATTCCTTTGTGATTGGCATATTATCACTTAACTTGGGATTTCCCAGTCTCTGCCCTAAGCCAGATTCAGCCAATAGTCCACAACAAGTCTACTAAGAGAGCCAAATTGCTAGTGGTAAGCAGAAAAGGGTTTATTTAATATAGCCTCAGTGGAACGAGGGACAGTGAGGTCAAGGGACTTCCTCCAAGTCTGTCTTTGGTGTTCTGAAGTGACACTGAAGTTTAATAGAACATCCTTTATTATGCAATATTTGTTGCATTCAAAAGAATCTGTGTAGCATGCTGGCCTATGTTAAGTTAGAGAGAATGGAAAATCAACATGTGCCAATTAAAGTGCGACTTGGTGAAGAGCTGAAACCTTACCAGTGTCCTCTGAGCTGGCAGCCTGCCTCTCTGACCTACTCTTCTCATCACCACAGAGGTAATCAGTGTGCTGCTTTTTATGTTTATATTTCTTTGGGGGTCTTGCCATATAACTTTGGCTGTCTTGGAACTTGCTATGTAGACCATGCTGGTCTGAAACTCACAGAGATTCCTCCTCCCTCAAGTACTGGTATAAAAGCATACACCACTGTGTTGGCCCATGTTTATCTTATAAAACTAAATTGTTAACGATCTATGTAG